GCCTTGGTATTCCCCCGGATAAGCTGGAGGAGGTGGCTGGGCTTCTCTGCTTAGGCTGCTGCCCCGCGACCCGTCCCCGGATAAAGTGGATGAAGATGTTTGGATGGATGGAATTTAAAATCCTGCTCTTCACAAGGTCTTAAATAATCAGGCCCCATCTTATCTTAATGACCTTGTAGTACCATATCACCCTATTAGAGCACTTCGCTCTCGCTCTGCAGGCCTACTTGTTGTTCCTAGAGTATTTAAAAGTAGAATGGGAGGCAGAGCCTTCAGTTTTCAGGCCCCTCTTCTGTGGAACCAGCTTCCAGTTTGGATTCGGGAGACAGACACTATCTCTACTTTTAAGATTAGGCTTAAAACTTTCCTTTTTGCTAAAGCATATAGTTAGGGCTGGACCAGGTGACCCTGGATCCTCCCTTAGTTATGCTGCAATAGACGTAGGCTGCCGGGTTAGGGTTATGATGATATTTATATTACAAAATAATTATTAAAACAGGATGTGGTTAGTTTGTGATATTACCCATTTTTCTGACCTAAATTTATTGCTTTTGTGCTGAAGTTTGATTACCAGGCTGGTGGGTTTCACAATTTCCCTAACACTTTGCACATGACTGGGTAGCATTAGCAGTTTATATCCTGTGTGATTTATGTATTTGTTTTGTTTTGTTTTTAACAACAATGCCAAGAAAAACTCTATTTGATTAGACTGAAGATTTAAGCTCACTGGGCCATGTGACTTTCGTGTTTTTTAAGTGGGCTACAGCACAGACTCTGGCTGGTTTATCAGAAGTAGTTGCTGATGTTAAATCAGATAAATCTGCAGATTAAATGTAAATTAGTAGAGTAATGAGTTTGTAGAGAAATGTATGAAGTCATTACTAGTTAAAGTTAATCTGATGCAGAACTTGATATTCAATAAATTGAATTGAACTTGGCTTCAGTGCTGAAAATAAACTTGGGCCTGTTTTTCATTCAATGACAATTTTTACATTTTTTTACATTTTACATTTTTACTCTTTGTAAACATCAGCCATTCAGCTGCTAGAACAGTAATCAGTGTGATTATATGGGACACCTTTCATCCTGCAGTTTAGATTCAATCTGATTTGTTTTTCATGTTTTTCATGTCTTCTCCTCCATCATCAGTTATCAGGAGAGCAGACAGTCAAAGTACAAGAATTCAAACAAACACAGAGATTCTACTTACAGAGCAGACACAGCACAGATGTTTCCTTCATCGTCCTTCTCACTCATTTGAGCTTTTTCTCATTTCTGTCACTGACACCAAGTAAAGCCCGCCCTCTTCCTCTGAGCACCAGCTTTCTATTGGTTCAAACACAGAGGAGGTAACTCATGTTTTGCTTTGTCTAAAGATAGAAGTGAATAGAATTAAATATAAAGAACATCAGTGTACACAAAGTGTAGTTTTTTTTCTGGAAATACTTTGAAATAAAGTGCGTGGCTTAAAGCTGCCACACAAACACACACGACAAGAAGATCATGTTTTAAGATCATCTGATTATATTTCATAACTTTGATGGAACATTTATTATTTATTATTTATTTATTCTCCCAAATCATTTATAATTATGGCCACTAGAGGGCAGTGTTTGACCCTAAAGTCTATAACGATACAAGCCAATTGTCAGTGATGCTTCTAGTTTGTTTTACCCAGTTGTCATTAGACTCACTTCCTTCATTTTTACATGTATTATATTGCATTACTTTTTAATTAAGTAGCAAGGCTACATTAGAGAGCTTTAAGGGGGCTTTTATTGTGAAAATGTTGCAGGTTGCACGATGATCAGATAGCAGACATGTAGATAAGGCTGATGTGGAGAAATTAAATTATTTTAGAATATTTTCATGAAGTCTAATCATGAGCTCACCTATAGCAATTCATTGTTTTGCTCCAACACACCACAAACCTAACGATGACATCATCATAAAAACTGGAACCACTGGTTAGTCCGAGTTTTGAGTTCAAACTCTGCTGAACTAAATGAAAAGAATGAAAAGACAACATGCCATAAAATGTTTTCAAAACTTTATTGTCAATAAACAGAGTCACAAAAAAGTAATAAATTCATTAATCAATAACATTTGACGTGATTTTGAAATGTAAACTGCAGTAAAAAAGTTGCATTGATGGAAAGAAAAGATCAGAGAAAACATCCAAATCTGCAGTTACACTGAAAAATAACATAACACTGTACATTATAACACTGTACATTATAACACTGTACATTATAACATTCATTCAGTTGAAGATGATCAATAAATCCTAAACACAATCAGGCAGATCACTGATCGTTTATAATCCACAGTAATCCATCATTTCTTCACCACATGCAGTGTTTATGGTGCAGGTTGGTTCAGTCAGTATCAATAATTATACTGTAACAGCTGATCTCTGCATGAGGATTAATTTGTGTTGTTCAAACCTCACAGAACCAGTTTGATCTCACAAACAGCTGAACCTGAAGATGAAACACACTCAGTGTCTCTGTTATTGTAACATACAGGACACCGAAGTGACAAATAAGGAGGGCAAACCAATGATAAACAAAGTCTGCTCACAATCACAGATTTTTTTAAAATGAGTTCACTCAGAAGCTGAATATTTTATTTTGAAAAACGTTGATCTTGTTTGATGTGTATTTTTTTGATAATGTGACCTCCTGTGTGCTCCACATATGAAGTGAGGCAGAAATGAAAACAACTTTAAGACTTGAAACTTACACTGGGATGAGCAGCTAACCTGATAAAATAAGTCACAGATTTCAGTGCTGTAGGTTCATCATGTGAAATTTCATGTAACAGTCTAAACAAGTCTGATGAAAATCAGAGAAATGTGAAATCAAAAATAAATATGGACGCATTTGATGTCCCTCTGATTGAGGTTCAGCATTATTAGTTTCTTTGTCTTAAAATCATCCTTCTTGATTTCAGTGAAACAGAATTTAGGACTGTGATGAGCAAGTAGATTCATAGTTCACATTCTTAACCTTCTTTTTTTGGTAGATCAAAAAAGCAACAGCAACAAAAACAACAACAACAACAGCAGCAACTGAAAGACCGATGATGAGTCCAACAGACCCTCCTGGTTGACCTGCAGGTGAGAAACAGGTGTGAAGTGTCAGCTGTCAGGTAGGTGATGAGTGAAGAACAGAACAGAATCCATTTCCTCTTCAAACTGCTGTCAGACATTATCTACTGCACTCTGATCACATCACTCAGACCAGCTGCTTTCTACAAAGTCTCATCAGCAACATCTTTAGAAACAAACATCAACAACCAGGAAGCAGCTTCACCTCTGATCACACACACACTCAACTCTACTCACTCACCTGGAGGATCAACACTCAGGTAGATGATGAAGATGAGTTCATTGTTTGGTCCGCTCATGAAGACATGACACTTGTATGTTCCATTATCAGCAGTTGTCACATCCTTCAGAATCAAAGACACGTCTCCATCCTTCATCTGTCTGTCCTGCAGATCCACCCGGTTCTTAAAAGATGGATGCTGGTTGGAGGTATCAATGTGCCCATCCCGGTACAAAAGGACTTGTCCGGACTCCGGGTCAGTTTTGCTCCACTCTACAGCTGTGATGTTGTTGTTTGGAGCTTGACATGGCAGAGTGACGTTCTTCTGTCCAGACTCAGCTGTGATGTTTTTCTGGGCTGAAAGAGGAAACAACACAAATCAGGGAGGTTAAAGGGGTCAATGTTTGTTTGTTTTTGCTGTTGTTTTTTATTAACTTTTTAAATCTTAGATTGTTAATTTAAGAACTCTATCAATGATTTAAGTGTAGATACTAAGCCGACGCTTGAATCCACTGTGGTGTTCATTGGTGGGAGTTACACGATGTAACTAATATGCATGAACTTAATAAATTAAAACTTAATAAATTTTATATTGTCCAATAACTCCAGCTGTACTTACCATAACAGCCCAGCGGTCGCAAACTGTTTGCTTTCTCCTGATCAACAACACACCTGAGGCAAATTAGTTTCCAGTTTCAGTTTTATTTGTCATATGCAAGTTAGCACAGGGTCAACATTGCAATGAAATGTATTTGAGCAGAAGACAGTCACTCAGCAGTAGAAAAAAAACCTACTGTGATGTGCTGGCAAATTACGTGTGTCTACCTTATAAAACCTTCATATAAACACACCATAACAAAAAAAAAACCTCAAAAGGTGACCTCTGGCAGCAGACATAAGGTACTAACCCAAAAATGGCTCCTACACCAAGAAAAACACATCCTTATAATAAGTGAACATAATGTGTGAGAGAAAGCAGCTTCTCATTATAAGACACTGTGAGTCTCTGCATGCTGCCTTTCTGGAGCTACAGCTGTTTGTATACACTGAACTAAAAGCTTTGTAGCTGTATACTGACTCCAGAAACTACAACACATCACACAGACACACACATTACACTTCTTTGTCTCTGTCACAGGGCTGGATGTAATGAAATGTTCTTAGAGTGGCATTGAAATCAAGTGGTCAAAATCAAAGTCGTTTCTTTACACATATGCAGCTTTTACATTGTGTAATATGCCTTAAAATGTAACCAATGATTCTGACTTTTTTGTACAACCATTTAAAACCCAGGAGCAGATCTACAGAGGTGGCATGGAGTGGCATGTGCCACCCTTAATAAACATTGTCATTTACAAAACTATGGTGGCACTCGGTGTGGCAAGAGATTATATCAGGGTGACACATGCCACATCTGTAGATCTGCTCCTGGCGGTATACTGACCCCTGACACTACAACACATCACACTGACACACACATTACACTTCTTTGTCTCTGTGAGATCTGATCACACCGACATGTTAGGTCCACACAGACCCCACCCAGCCTCGTGTCTCCTTCACAAACACGGAAAAACTGAATCAATATGAAAATAAATCTTCAGGAAATGTTGTTAACATGTAAACAGACTGATGCTTTTCCTCTCTGTCCCACAGAGTGAATCTCACCTGCAGAGACAAACACGAAGAGGCCGACAAACAGCAAAGTCGAGCAGAGCGACGCAGTCACAGCAGACATTTCCGTGTTCTTCAACTCCGACGCTTCGATTGTTCTAAATGTCTCAGGATGGTTTTATTGAAATAACTGAACCTGAGTTTAAATCCTGACTACATGAGATTAAATTTAAGGTTTAAATGATCCTGAAAGTCTCTGACTGAGAGAACAGATCAGACTTTTTAGACACTCGTTCAAACTCAATACGTCCAAGTCATCGTCTCTGCAGGAAGTCACGTTAGAGTCACGTGTGTTTACGCTGCTGTAGGGTGACCATAAATAAGTGCGTCATAACTAAAGCAGTGAAATCTGAAGCAGGTCTGAGTGTTTAACAGGTTCAGTTCTTGAATGATCTCCACAGAACAACACAAACATCTCATCATCAACCATCAGCTACATACTAAAGACCATCATCAGCCAAAGGACTTCAACATGACGTCACTGTATAAAATGTATATTGTACTATGGAGGAGGCAGCATTTAGCTGGAGCCTCCATCAAACCACAGAGAACTTTGTCCACCTTTGATTGTCTTTAAGTTGTGTTGGAGCCACAGAGAGCAAATCTTTGTTCTTTATGGAGAACCAGTGAGACTGTTTGGACTTTCCTGTGAAACATTATGGCTGACATATGTCATTTAACAAAACACAAGTGACAAAGTCTCATCAACAACATCTTTACAAACAAACATCAATAACTAGGAAGCAGCTTCACCTCTGATCACACACACACCAACTCTACTCACTCACCTGGAGGATCAACAACACTCAGGTAGATGATGCTGACGTGCTTCAAATTGTCTCCCTCTCTCTGCACGACAAGACACTCGTATGTTCCATTATCATTAATCGTCACATCGTTCAGAATCAAAGACACGTCTCCATCCCTCATCTGTCTGTCCTGCAGATCCACCCGGTTCTTAAAAGATGGATGCTGCCCTTCATGAACAAACTGATCATCTCGGTACAAAAGGACATGTTGTTCGTCCTTCAGGTCAGCTCTGCTCCACTCTACAGCTCTGATGTTGTTGTTTGGTGCTCGACATGGCAGAGTGACGTTCTGTCCAGCTGTGGTGTTAATGTCTGAAACAGAGGAAACAAAATGGAAAGTTGACGTCATTCTTCTGTCCAGACTCAGCTGTGATGTTTTTCTGGTCTGAAAGAGGAAACAACAGAGAGCAGAGAGTTTAAAGGTCAAAGTTCAGCTGCTCACTTCTAAAGCAGCCAATCAGAATGAGGAGCTACAGCAAAAGATCATTGAGCTCACACACACTTCAGTTTAATTCAGTTTTATTTACATAGCACCAATTCATAACTTCCTATGAAAAAAAAAACACTTGAACAGTCGTGCAGGGCGGGGCCTAACAGACACAATGGCTCAGAGGACATAAATAGTGAAGTTAAGACAAACTGATAGTTTAGATGTAAATTAGTAGATAATGAGTCATATAGAATTCATTCAGGTTATTGAGGATGTATTGAAAGCTGATGTTGTGATTTGTTGCTATAGAAATGGAACTGAATTGAATCCAAATAAAATGAAGAATCTAAGTTATTCAACACAATTTCCTCATCTGATTGAAAATGCACGTTTGCGAGTTAAACTCTCTGACTTGATCCTTTCTTTTTTTCAGAATAACCAAAGTATCCTGAGTTGTTTACAGTGAGGATGTAACACTGTTAACAAGATACCATGTTGACAATGAAGAACATAACAGTGGAGGAATTATATCCTTAAACTTAGATACAGTTTTCATAAAGACATCTACTGTGGTTAAATCTATTCCCCACTGCTGTGTATGTATTATTTTAAATTTAAATGTTATTTGGAAATAAATGTTAATAATACTGACATTTTTCATATCTACGTGGATGCTAAAAACACACATTACACTTCTTTGTCTCTGTGAGATCTGATCACACCGACATGTTAGATCTCACAGACCCCACCCACCTTCGTGTCTCCTTCACAAACACGGAAAAACTGAATCAATATGAAAATAAAGGAAATGTTGTTAACATGTAAAGCAGACTGATGCTTTTCCTCTCTGTCCCACAGAGTGAATCTCACCTGCAGAGACAAACACGAAGAGGCCGACAAACAGCAAAGTCGAGCAGAGCGACGCAGTCTCAGCAGACATTTCCGTGTTCTTCAACTCCGACGCTTCGATTGTTCTAAATGTCTCAGGATGGTTTTATTGAAATAACTGAACCTGAGTTTAAATCCTGACTACATGAGATTAAATTTAAGGTTTAAATGATCCTGAAAGTCTCTGACTGAGAACAGATCAGACTTTTTAGACACTCGTTCAAACTCAATACGTCCAAGTCATCGTCTCTGAAGGAAGTCACGTTAGAGTCACGTGTGTTTACGCTGCGCTGTAGGGTGACCATAAATAAGTGCGTCATGACTAAAGCGGTGAAATCTGAAGCAGGTCTGAGTGTTTAACAGGTTCAGTTCTTGAATGATCTCCACAGAACAAAACAAACATCTCATCATCAACCATCAGCTACATACTAAAGACCATCATCAGCCAAAGGACTTCAACATGACGTCACTGTATAAAATGTATATTGTATTATGGAGGAGGCAGCATTTAGCTGGAGCCTCCATCAAACCACAGAGAACTTTGTCCACCTTTGATTGTCTTTAAGTTGTGTTGGAGCCACAGAGAGCAAATCTTTGTTCTTTATGGAGAACCAGTGAGACTGTTTGGACTTTCCTATGAAATATTAGCGCTAAAAAAACACAATTTACCAAACACACGTGACAAATTCTCATCAACATCTTTACAAACTAACATCAATAACTAGGAAGCAGCTTCACCTCTGATCACACACACACCAACTCTACTCACTCACCTGGAGGATCAACAGTCAGGTAGATGATGCTGATGATCTTGCATGACTGCTTCATCCAATCGGACCGACTCTGATATGTTCCAATGTCGTTATTTGTCATATTCTTCAGAATCAGAGCCGCGTCTCCATCCTTCATCACTCTGGGCTGCAGATCCACCGGGTACCTAAAAGATGGATGCTGATTGGCTGGTTCAAATCGGCCATCCCGATACAAAAGGACCTTTTCTGGCTTCAGGTCAGCTCTGCTCCACTCTACACCCTGGTGTTGGTGTTTGGAGCTCGACACGTCAGAGTGACATTTTGTCCAGACTCAGCTGTGATGTTTTTCTTGTCTGAAAGAAGAAACAACACAAATCAGGGAGGTTAAAGGGATCAAACTGCAACTGTTCACTTCTAAATCAGCATACAACATAAAGGACAATTATGCTCAAATTCATTACAGTCAATGCAATACGATCACATCATATTCAAAAAGTCATTAAAAATCATCCTTGATAGTTGATGTGAAACTTTCAAAGTGTTCTTTCTCTCATCCATCCACTTTGCATCTCTGCAAAGTTTCAATTTATCTGCATAATTTAAAGAATCCACAGTATCCAGAGTCATTTGCAGTGAGGATGTTACACTGGTAACAAGATACCATGTTGGCACATGAAGAGGATCACAGTGGAATAATTACATCCTTAAATTTAGTTACAGCACTTTAAGAAAGACACTAGATAAGAAAATACTGTCATTATTCCTCACTGTTGTGTAGGTATTATTTTAAGTTTAAATGTTATTTGGATATGATCAGACAAGAGAGGGTTTTCAGGAAATAATGTTAATAATAATAACAACATTTTTAGCATCTACATGGATGTTAAAATCAGCCACAATTATCATTTTATCTGAGCTGAGCACTAAATCAGATAAAAGTCTGAGAAATCAGACAGAAACTGTGAGGAAGGGCCAGGTGGACGAGCAGCCTCTCATTATAAGACACTGTGAGTCTCTGCATGCTGCCTTTCTGTAGCTACAGCTGTTTGTAAACACTGAACTAAAAGCTTTGTAGCTGTATACTGACTCCAGAAACTACAACACATCACAAAGAAACACACATCACACTTCTTTGTCTCTGTCACAGGGCTGGATGTAATGAAATGGTCTTAGAGTGGCATTGAAATCAAATGGTCAAAATCAAAGTCATTTCTTTACACATATGCAGCTTTTACATAGTGTAATATGCCTTAAAATGTAACCAGTGGTTCTGACTTTTCTGTACAACCTTTTAAAACTCAGGGGCTGATCTACAGAGGTGGCATGGAGTGGCATGTGCCACCCTTAATAAACATTGTCATTTACAAAACTATGGTGGCACTCGGTGTGGCAAAAGATTATATCAGGGTGACACATGCCACGTCTGTAGATCTGCTCGTGGCGGTATACTGACTCCTGACACTACAACACATCACACTGACACACACATCACACTTCTTTGTCTCTGTGAGATCTGATCACACCGACATGTTAAGTCCACACAGACTCCACCCAGCCTCGTGTCTCCTTCACAAACACGGAAAAACTGAATCAATATGAAAATAAATCTTCAGGAAATGTTGTTAACATGTAAACAGACTGATGCTTTTCCTCTCTGTCCCACAGAGTGAATCTCACCTGCAGAGACAAACACGAAGAGGCCGACAAACAGCAAAGTCGAGCAGAGCGACGCAGTCACAGCAGACATTTCCGTGTTCTTCAACTCCGACGCTTCGATTGTTCTAAACGTCTCAGGATGGTTTTATTGAAATAACTGAACCTGAGTTTAAATCCTGACTACATGAGATTAAATTTAAGGTTTAAATGATCCTGAAAGTCTCTGACTGAGAACAGATCAGACTTTTTAGACACTCGTTCAAACTCAATACGTCCAAGTCATCGTCTCTGCAGGAAGTCACGTTAGAGTCACGTGTGTTTACGCTGCTGTAGGGTGACCATAAATAAGTGCGTCATAACTAAAGTGGTGAAATCTGAAGCAGGTCTGAGTGTTTAACAGGTTCAGTTCTTGAATGATCTCCACAGAACAACACAAACATCTCATCATCAACCATCAGCTACATACTAAAGACCATCATCAGCCAAAGGACTTCAACATGACGTCACTGTATAAAATGTATATAGTACTATGGAGGAGGCAGCATTTAGCTGGAGCCTCCATCAAACCACAGAGAACTTTGTCCACCTTTGATTCTCTTTAAGTTGTGTTGGAGCCACAGAGAGCAAATTTTTGTTCTTTATGGAGAACCAGTGAGACTGTTTG